TTTTTTTATCATCTTCAACAATATCAACAGTATTTATTTTTCACGTTCAATGAACATACTTGGCGAGCTGTTAAATGGCACCGCTAAAACTGCGAACTGACCAGCTAGTTTTATTGATTTTTATAGCCCCAATGAAAAAGTTCCACACCTGCGCTGGCTTTAGTAGAAATGTATGTACGAATACTCGTTCATACGAAATCGAACCGGCGGGCATTAAAAGGATTCTTGCGTAAGCTATTCGGAAGAAGCAAGCTAGGGCTGTGCAATTAATTGATTATTCAAAACCTTAATTAATATCGTATTAATCATTATCATATTTTTATTGTAATAGTTGCGTTCCAGATGCTTCACGATTTGTAGGTTTTTACAGGAAGTCGTTCCAGGGGACCACCTTCCATAAGGTTTATTAATGGAGGAAACAGTTTTCCTGCAAATCCTGCAAATCGTGAAGCATCTGGAACGCAACTTTTATGCTAATCGAACAACTGATTAACCAACTTGCTCGTGTAATCGAATATTCGCACAGCCCTAAAGCATTTTCCATAATTGTTTACATTTTCATTAACTCTTATAGAGCAATTATTGCCCGCTGTTTCCAAGCATCAATACAGTCTATACTGCTGAAAATGTTCCTATATCGTTTACATAACCAACCCAACAGCGCTGTACTGTAAGGGCGTTTCGCTACAAACCAATAAAAAACATGCTATGGAACGCATACTTTGGGAGCAGCAGTGAACGCAGGCGGCATGACACAATAGGGTGCACTATGGCTAGTCATGTCGGCTGGGCTGGGTTCTTGCCTTCACCGCTGTTCCCTGCGCCATAGCAGAGAAAAGTCATGCCTGTCAAACATCTTCGCTTCCGGCATGGCCGGAAGTATCGGACGGACACAATTCAAAAATTTCAAAAATTCAAAAAAAATCCGTTAACACAACCACAAAAAAAAGCTGAAAAAGGAACGTTAAATTAAATATTTAAAAGAAACTGAAAGCAAAAGCAAGCAGAATCCAAACTAAAACTGAAATAAGAATAGAACCAAAACCAACAAAAAAAAACTAAGGCCGAATATGAGGCACCACCGCTGGTATTGTGGTGCCTGGTGCTGGCCCACCCTCATCCGTGGCTTCTGGCGCACCCTAATATCAGCAGCCCCATTTCCGAAATCCTATCGTGCCTTTTCAAATA